GGTCGGAACTTGCTCCTTGGTTACTATGGTTACTAGAAATGGTCGACGAAATCATGTCCGGGGGCGGCGGCGGTGGTGGAGGTGGACACATCCCTCCTGGCTCGGAAACGACCCTTTTCAAAGCTCTGAAACGAGGAAAATTACACATTGTAGTTTAAGCCCACGATATGAAACAAACTAAACTGAAAAAAGTACACCAATAAAGGGCCGTTCATAAATGACGCCACGGTTTAAAAAGGATGGGGGTCAAAAGGGGGCCTGTGGGCCGATTGTTGACATTTTTTGATAATCTACTAGATATAACAAGACTGACTAATGTGATCGATCAGCTTTGTTAGTCCTCTTCTTCGGCGTTCCTATGTCGGTTGGAATTAATGGCAAGCTAGAGGCACTTCTTCGGTCGCCATTAGCTTGTTATCAAAATCGCTTTCCATAACACCATAGTACTTTCCTTTATGTCGCAAATGTTCAAAATTATACCAAACGCTACATATGTTGCCAAGATTTGTCGTTACCCCCACGAAAGAACGTAGCAACATTTCAATGTTGCCAAATTTCCTCTATTGTACATCGGAATTTTAGCTGAATAATCTCGGGCATTTCTTACTGAAAATTTCACTGAAATTTCAACTGATCTCATGCAAATATCAGAAAAAAATGTAGAGCAAAATCGCGAAGGAGCATTCTTGTAAAAAATCAAATTATTTGAGTCAATTTTAAAATCTTGGAACGGAACTAAGTTCCCTCGTCCGGAAATCGACAGATTATATGTGTAACTTGTTGTATGAAAAAGAACTGAAACGCCTTTACTTCAAATACTCTTCACCTAGAAAAAAATCACGAAGAAATAGCAAATACTTTGGTGAGAGAATGTAGCTTTACCTGTTATTTTGATTATTATGGGGTAAAGTGAAACAATGTGTCCTAGAAAGTCGCTCGTGTTTGCATTTCTCGTTTTCCTCTTCTGAGTGTCCTAAGTCAGAGGGAGAACCACTTGACACACCAGATTCTGAAAAAAGTACAAATGAAGGTGACTTGTTAAGTTCAAATTCAAGTTTGAAAGTTTATGCTCTCCCATGATCTAAAATAACAACTATCAATGACATAAATTTTGCTCTCTCAAAGGAAAGGTAAGGTTGTGATATGTACCTACTTCAATCGCCAATTTTAATCAGGCATTCAAATATTCCCGTTCTTGAAGCTTCATTTTCAAATTCTGGTCTCTAACACAATTTATGAAATGATTGGCATGTAAGTCGTCGTTTCAGTGTAACTTCGATGAAACTGCTCGCCAATAAAACCATTTCATCGGTCTCCTATCCCCTCACGATAGCGTGATGATAGTCGACTACAGCTGAGTTCATGCGTGTTGCAGCTTCTCAATTTGAAGGAGAATCAAACTTGAGCTTGGTGTTGCTCATGCAGAGTCTACGTCTGCCTATATTTTAGTGCAATAGAAGATTTATTGTTTCCATGTTCACATTCAGACTAACCATTTGAAACTGGTATTTTATGAGGTAAACTTCAATTGACGGCAGGTACTTGAAAATAGAGGGGTAGGGGATCGAGGGACTTCATTGCAGCATAGAAATAAAATTTTCGTCGGAAAGGTCCGTCAAAAGACGTAATCTCACCCCTCCTGCGTCCAATAACTGCATAGAGAAGTGATAATGGAGAAGTTGCATGTGTGAGGTATTTGCGATTTGACTATTAATTCTTTTGTAGTAGTTCGCGAGAAACACGATGGTGCCACTGGTTTTCTCTGAAATCAACTCTCAAGCTCAAAAAAAGCTCTCAAGTTTGCTCCCTACAATGGATTTGCTCCCTACCTTTGCATGGAGAGTGTGTCTTGATGTAGATTTGGACTCTCAGAATAGCGTGAGATATCACCTCCGTTTTGGCCTCAACTTAAGAGCTTTTTTTGAGCTTGGGAGTTGATTTCAGAGAAAACCAGCCGAAAAGCCAGCTAAAGGCTTTACGATTTTTCCTGTGTACGATAATTCCGCGTCGGCGAGCCACGGTGCTTCGAGCTACTATTTTGCCACGAAGGTGTTGCATAGAATCATGCGAGATTGAAGGCACTCCAACATATCATGATTGATGGCATCTTTCAAAAGCACCAAGTTCCCTGGCAAATTAAATCAAGTGACGACGACAAAAAGAGAGCGGTAGTCGAAAAACTTACCAAGTCCTAGCATTTGTATTCAATATAACGTTTCGCATGATTTTTGAACTTCATCAGAGGAAAAAGTGATTTGATTCAAGCAGAAATATGCTCAAATTTATATCGCCGAGAAGATTCTCTTATGAATCAATAAAGAAAATAACGCTTGATTAAAGAAGAAAAGATGCGCATATAAAAAAAAGTCACCTACAGCAAGCAGAGACCCGCTTTCATTCAGCTATTTTATTCTTGATTCAAAATAAAATGTTCTTGACTGCATACTCAAGAATGTTTCTGTCTAAATCGAGACACTTTTTTCTCTGATGAAATTCAAAAATTATGTTAAATCTCATCAAATACGGATGCTAGGACTAAGTGATATTTTGGACTATCGCTCTCTTTTTTTTCCGTAGTATCTTGATTTATTTTGCGAGGAAAGCTCCGTGCTCTTGAAGGATACCATGTCAATCTTAATATGTTGGAGCGCCTTTTGATTTCGTGTGATACTGTGCAACACCTCTGTTGTAAAATAGTTGCGTGACCCCGCGCCGCGGCGCGGCAATTGCGGACTGCCAGCGCAAAATGCGCATTGGTGCTTACAAACCTAACAGGATACTCCAAGCATTGCATAATGCGTGAGGTATTCCCTTAGGTTTGTAGGCGCCAGTGCGCCGCGGCGCGGCAACTGCGGGCGGCCAGCGCAAAACGCGCATTGGCGCCTACAAACCTAACAGGATACTTCAAGCATTGCGCAATGCGTGAAGTATCCCCTTAGGTTTGTAGGCGCCGGTGCGCGTCTGCACGTTGTGCGCCGGCAGCACGCCACTCCGCTCTGTGTTTCGCTCTAATATTCAGACTCGCGGAGTCAGCGGTTTGGAACTCATGATTTTGACATATTTGCAGACTCTGCACGAACTATTCTCATTTAAATAATTGCTGGGGGAAAAAATATGTCATAAAGGAAAATATACTGTGTGTTTTGTAAATATTAAGGTTGTTCCTTGTCAAATTTAATGATTTCCAAAGCACTTTAATTTTTTCTCTTGTATTTTGTGCTTTTATATGTACTATGCTGTAGTGTTGTGCATGCGCAAAGAAACGTACACAATTTGACGTGTTTGTACTGTTTGTCTCTAATAGATCGATGTACAAACGAAAAAAAATGTGATTTTTCCGTTAAAAACTGGAAATTGCTATTTTTGAATCTTCTATTTGAAGGAGGGGTATCGATACGAGTTATTTTTGTGCCACTCCAAGCTAAATGTCCTCAACTCTACTTTTTATTGCTCATTTGAGTCATATAATATGTTTTACGGGATGCATCATAACCCGGTCGTTTCCTGTCTCCTTTCGGGTCTAATACTGGGTCTGCTACTAAACATGGGTCTGAAGGCTGATTTTGGCGAAAAATGCGGAGTTTTCTGCATTCAACCGCAAACTAGCAAAACCTTCATTCTTCGCCAAAATCGGCCTTCAGACCCATGCCATGTTTAGGCCAGTATTAGACTCGTAAAGAGACCGAAAATGATCAGGATATCATGCATTCCATAAAATATAGACCTGTAATTGGACCGCGTTAAGCAAAAAGGAACCAAGCCACATCGGCGATTGCCGAATTTTATCTGGCAAGTTAAAATGTTACATGAAAACGATCGTGCGGATTTTTGTGTAAATTCTAGTAAATTTTCTGCACAGTGCGAAGCAAATTCCCTTTCACTTTCAAAGGACCCGCACGAAAGTCCTCTTGTAAAAACATAAATTGACCAATCAAATTTAGCAATAGCTGATGTGGCTTGGTATCTTTCCGCTAAACGCGGTCCAATTAGCAAAAAAATCATGAAGTTGAGGAAATACAGGTCGGGCCAAAAGACGGCCCTTATCGCCACCCCTCCTTTTCTCCGTATCTTGAGAAAATTTCGTTACCCTCTGGCCAAAGGATCACAAGTGCCATGCGACTTAAATTAAAAATTTCCGCCGCCCTTATATGTTTTTATAGAGACATTTTTGGTTGAATTTGTTTGAAAATTTCACCGAATTTTATCGGCAGCACACCTAAAATTCGGCGAAATTTTCGGACAGTTTCGTTGAAAAATTTCTCTGTTAGAAAAAAAAATGGCTGCGGGAATTTTTAAACGTCGCATGGCGTTTGTGTTACGTTGGCCGGAATGTGACGATTTTTCCTGAATGAAAGCATCCCTTTTCACAAATCCGCACTGAAAAAAAATTCTCTGCGTTTTTACCAAGGTCCGTTGATCTCACTTTTTTTTACCAATTAGTGGTAATTTTACCAAGACAGACCAGTAAACTTACCTAAAAACCGGTATTTTTCCTGTTTTTTTCAGGTAAGAATACCACTTTTATTGGTAATCAATTCCCGATAACTTTGCCATTTTATCTCGGTAATTCTACCATAGTCGATAAGAAATATTGGCGTTTTTACCAAGGTCCAGTAAAATTACCGAGAAAGTTCAATGATTTTATCGAGATTTCTCGGTAAAATTACCAATTCCATAAATGGTAATTTTACCAAGAAAAAACTGGGATCAAATAGAACCCTGAATTCTCGGTAATTTTACCCTTTTCTTAGTAAATACACCGAGATTTTTTTTTTAGTGTGTGACGATTTCTTCTGAATGAAAGCATCCCTTTTCACAGTCCCGATCACACCTCTTGTTCCACGAAATACATTAGTGCACGTACCAGCGGACACTTGGCCGTCCTGCGGGCTGTCGAGGAAGTCCTTGGGGGGCTCCGGTTCCGGGGGCCGGGACCCAAGGGGGCCGGCGGGCCCGACCTGGACGACGAGGTTGCTGTTCTCCGAGCTGAGGGAGCCGCTCCGGCTGTGCGAGCCGGAGTCCTGGCTCTCGGCCCGTCCTTGCCCGGCGCCCTGGCCCTTCTTGTCCCTGTCCCGCACCGAGTAGATGTCCTCGTAGTCGTGATCTCCTCGCTCGCTCCCTTCCGAGCATGACGTGTTCTCCTCCGAGCCCGCCCCGCTGCTGCTACTGTGCACCTCCACTTTGACTGCAACACGTATTTAAATAGATTCAGATTGCAAGAGTATATAGTATACTTGGCTATCTTGTACACGGAGAAAAAAACTTCGTGCGTGGGACCCGAAGTTTAGGTCATATGGATCTCTGAAGTTTTCGGATTGATCATCTGAACACTTAAGGTCCAGCTGCTGAGGTTTGGATCACACATCTGAAACTTCGGTTCTTACATCTGAAGTACTTCGGTTTTCACATCCGAAAAACTTCGGTTCTCACATCTGAAGTACTTCAGATGTAAGAACTGAAGTTTCAGATGTGTGATCCGAACCGAACCTCGACAGCTAGACCTTAAGTGTTCAGATGCTCAATCCGAAAACATCGGAGCTCCATATGACCTAAACTTCGGGTCCCACGCACGAGGTTTTTTTCTCCGTGTAATGAGAGAGAATTAAAAAAAATAAAAAAATGAAAAATAGAAAAAAGAAAATAAAGGAGAAAACGTGACTAAACACCCAAAAGGGTACACTGAAAAAAACTCCGGCCGTGGGAGCAGCGCTTACTGGCTTTAGGCACACCGTCCGTTCCAGGCTCATAGGCCAAAATTTTCGTATGCTGAAGCCGTACCTTCGACTGCAACGGATGCAGCACCTAGAAATTTCGGCCTCTGAACCTGGAACGGACATTATGTCTATTTAGCTCGTTAGCGCGGCTTCCACGGCTGGAGTATTTTTTTTCCGTGTAATACCTAATTTGTAATGCCTTGAACAAGGTAGAGTCTTTTGTTAGGCACTAAGATTTTGGCCTTGCATTTTGGATGAAAAAAAAGGTCAGCAGTTTTTTGCGGGTAATTTTGAAAGGGGCCATGTTCGCTTTATTTTTAAGTTTGGGAAGTAAAAAAAAGCGGGCGGAAAGCAGGGTTTCTATGAAATTTTTAGATCAAAGGTCTAGAGCAAAACCGACAGTTTGATGAAGACTCGAGCTGAGGAGAAAAAATTGAAATTAGCCTTTTTCGAAATTATTAGCAGTCAGGTGTACTGAATCCTGGAAAAATAAGGATTCCTCGCGATTTAGAATTTTATCATCTCAGTGTTTGTAATAAGGCACACAGAAAGAAAAAAAAAAGGTAACCGACATTTTGCGTTAATCACGGAAAAGGAACACGAAATCACCTTAACGTGCTGTTAATATTTTTTGGTTTGTATTTTTTTTGGGTTTTATTAACCCAATTGAGTTTTTGGGTTATTTTTGGGTTTATTTGGGTTGGTTATCAAAGAATGTCGTATTGAAATGAATTACCTGTGACACCTGTGGACTGAGTTTGAGGAACTGAGAGTTTAGGAGCGGCTTGGGAGAAGCCTTGAGGTTTATTGGCGAAGAGGTCCTTGACCCTGTTGTAGGGCACTTGTTGGGGATCGTGCAGGAAGAATGACTCCGATGCCTCGTTCTCAGCCATGGGGTTGATGAAAAGGCCGTCTCTGTTGTTCTTGGGAGGATCGTGTAAGTAGAACGGCTCAGGGTTGCTATCGCAATTGACGCAATCGGCATATGAGCACTGTGAAACCAAGGTCCAATCGTGTCATTAATATTATTACAGAGAAAATAGATTTTGATAATCCAGACTTTAACCGAAGGAGAAAAAAATTGAACTGCAAAATGTCATGATTAGATACTTTTTCCAATACTGAAGAAGAATTTTCTCATCGAAATTCTCTCAAAATTTTGGTTTGTTTTAGGGCTTTAGGATTCAATCTTGGAATTTTTTGGCTACTAACCCTTCCAAACGATTACCTATCAAGAAAACTTCATAATTGAATGTTCTTTTATTGATACTGAAGTAGAGCTTCTTCATCTTAATACTCCAAGGAATTTGATTTCGTTTTTAATAATTGGACTATTTCTGTCAAACGGAACTATGTGCATTATAACTTGAGCCCTGTTATGCATATATTCTCATGGATCCCAAGGCTCATGTCTTGATGCACATAGTTCCGTTTGGCAGAAATACGTCCAATTTGTAGCTCTTCGTTTTTAAACTTTAAAACGGTCCCCAGAAATTAATTTTTGGAATCTTTGGATGCCAATTAAATGAAGGCATGAAATTGCATTATGAACGTATGTCCTTATATGCGGCAGAATGGAATGTGATCGAATTTTTTACTCTGAACGATAATTTTTGCACTAGCTTACTTTCAAACCGCCGCAGTTCGGGCTTCGATATTTTTGAGCGTTTTTGACCGAGAATGTTGACCACTCTTCTATGTTTTGGTATCACTGACTTAATTTTGATTTTTTGCAGTTTAAAGTCATCATCGTAGACGGTCACACATTTACAACTTGAAATTATTAACAATTCCATTACAGCATCATTTGTTGGATGCCTGGAAGGAGGTACAGTAAATCTTCTTTTTCCTTCAACTCTTTTGAATCGAAATCTTACCCTCATGCTAGGATCTTCTTTTCTACAAAGGCAGCCATGAAGCTTTCCCCTTTCGTCTTGGTAGTCCGGAGATGTCCCGTGTTGCACCAACATGCTCAGACACTGAAAAACACAATATTCAAAAGCAGTCACAATTAAGCAAAATAACAAACTGTGATCCGCAACCATGTGTCTTGATTGCGGTAATTGAAAATCTCCGCTCCTATTTTATTTTTTTTAAAAATAGAACAAATCGACATAATTCCTTGAAGTTCCCGCAGAATTTTCCTCGCACGGAGAGGAAAAACCCGGTACCTTCAAAGAATTGCCGTTGGATAGTTTTCCATTTCAAACATAACGTATGACTAAAAGTCTGCAACGTCGCAAACCGAGAAACGTGGTTGCGTATACTTACAAAGTCGACTTTTGCTATTATTTCAGCACATTCGTCCTCTCATTTTCTCCAAGACCTCTGAATTTTACAAAGGAATCCGTGAATTAAAAGTAAAGGAAGAAAAATAATGTTAGGATTCCCCTCAGGTGCATATAGTGCATATACTCCTAGTTCTCTTGCCGAAATCGGGAAAAAATGATAAAAAAAAGAAAAAAATTTAAAAAGTGTGACGCATTACTCTAATTACCACCGGCACAAGCACTCAACGGTGACACGTGTTGGGTGATGCTTTGACGGTGCTAGCATTAGTGCTCCTCGTCTACTTTTAAGCTTTTTTGCTTTTTTCACAGCTAAAAATAAACGCGTCTAGAACTAAAACTCCCATCTCTGGTCGTCGTTTAAGTTTTTGAATTCTTCACTTTCAAAATCGAAAATCCACCACTTCACACTTTCGCATTCTGTTAACGTCATTTTTTATTCCCTTTCCGTCGTATCATATAGGAGGTAGAGTCATTTAAAGGTCTAGATTAATCTTTGCAGGCTTTTTACATTTTAATAATGTTTCAGCGCTGTCTCAAGAGACATCAAGTTTTGGAGCCCTCTTAATCTAGTCCATCCGCTATTCACGTGGTCTAGTCTTTCACAATGATATACCTCTTAGCGGTATGTCTTCTGTTTATGAGTGGAAAGTAGACAAAATTGATTGCCGACTATAAATTCGCTATAAGAGAAACGTGAAAAAAAGAGGGAAGAAATAAAGGAAAAGACTATGAAATAAATATAACTAAAAAGAATTAAACAAATGTAAAATAAGAACATAAAAAATGTATAAAATACAATAGAGTAAAATTGAGTATAAAAAATAAAATAGGATGGAATTATATGTTAAAAATTGACGAAAAAAATAGAAAAAAATAATTCCATAAATTATAAAAATAAAAAATGAATAAAATAAAACGGAGTGAAATAAAGTATAAAAAATAAAATAGGATGGAATTACGTATTAAAAATTGACGAAAAAATAGGAAAAAATAATCCCATAAATTATAAAAATAAATAATGAATAAAATAAAACGGAGTGAAATAAAATATGAAAAATAAAATAGGATGAAACTACGTAATAAAAATTGACGAAAAGAAAACAAAAAATAATAATTCCACATATTGTTAAAGCAAAATTAGGTATACAAGTTTTCACAAATTTATAGGTCTTTAAAGTATATTGACTGCTAGTAACTGTCTAAAACGGAAGAACCGATCGGAACAGCCTTCTCGAATAGATGAGGGGATTCTGAAAGTTTTAATGAGCCTCCATTGATTACAATAAACTTGAATATGAGCAAAGGTGGCCATACCTCCATTTGATGGTTTTCTGCAGCGTCGTTGATTGGGCTCTTGCCGTATTTGTCCGTGACGAGCTTTGCTCCGTGACGCAGGAGCCAGCGCACGCACTCCAAGTGTCCACGTGACGCTGAAAAGTGCAGCGGCGTTGCCCCATCCCCGTCACGTAAGTTGGGGTCAACCCCCTGATCTTGAACCTAAAATTAATAATTAATAAAATCATCAAACCTAATATAAGAAGAATATGAAGGAGAAAAGTGGATGCTGTTCAGAAAACACGATACACCCTCAGTTACACCTGTTCAGTAAAAATCCAAATTTCATATGAATACAAGCCTTTTGTTTAAGCGGCATCTGAATTTTAAGATTAACATTAATTTTTCGGCAAATTTTTCTGTGCTGAAACTCAGTGCAGTGTCAATGGCGGGTGGGGGGGGTTGAGGAAAGTTTATCGTTAAATCATCATGACTTCATCTTATGAGAGGCCAAGAAAAGAAGGACCTCACAGCTTTTAAAGCAAGGATTTAATTTCATTAATGTAGGTACTGTAAAGCTGTAAAGCTGTGAACTTTAAAATTAGTAATACCAAATTTTGACCAATGTTTAAACACCGTGCGGCAATTCTCATCCGGTTTTTTTAAAATATTCTAGTGACGTCTTTTGATCTGATCCAATTCACGTGATAAAAATAGAGTCATAGTGATGCAGTGATTCGCTGTACAATTCGAGCAGGTTTGCTCTTGTTCAGATTTTTGCCACAAGGCCCAAACCTGACCTTAAAAACTGTCTAAAAATAGTCACGGTAATGTATTTTTTTAAAGTGTATTTTCCGTAGGCATAGCTCTGATGCACTAATTGAAAAATGGAGGAGGTGGTTCAGGTGGTTAAGCACGCAACACTTATCTCCGGTCATAATTCATAAAACATAAAATTCATGAACTGGAATTTGATTAAAAAACTGGAGTATTGTTGAATCTCGAGACTTCTATAGACGTGAGTAGTTTTCCATCTAAAAATGAAAAAATGAAAAGAAGTCAGCAACGTCGCAAACCGAGATGCGTGGTCTGGTAGTTTCACTGTCATTGGCGGATCCATCAAACTGGCAACATCGTCTTTGCTCCGTTTGAACCTATGGAGATGTATCGATTCTTAGAGGGGCCGGTTGCCTCGACAATAATCGATTTTTAGCATAGGTTTAAATGGAGGAAATCCAGTGTTGCCATATTGCTGGATCCGCCTCTGTTCACTGTTAGTATGTCGCTTGGTTCCATACTAAGAAGCACTGCGCAATTGAGTTGAAAGTTATTTATAAATGCACCTACTCCAGAGGAGAAATTTTCCACCATAAACTCAATGTCTGTACAGAGCCGAGTTGGCGCTTTTTCTGTAAATAACTCACATTGTATGTTGATTAGATATTCTATAGATTTGATTTATAATTTTTGTTCAAAAAGAAAATCCTAATGAACGTTATTTGTTCCTACGGAAAATTCTGTATATGATGAGAAGTCAGTTGAAAGTCCGGAAAATCGCATAATAGTTTTCCTCACGGAAAAGGCAACAAGAAATACGAAATATATACGACGTTGTAAATATGTGTTGTTCTAGCTTTCAAAATCGATTCCAATCAACGTTAACGTTATTAAATTCTCTTTGAATGGACCACTAGACAAGGTACGAATTCAAGCAATCTGTTACATGTTTCTTAACTAGAATTTTACGTAAAACACGATTCTTACGACGAAAATTACTGAAACCAACTTTTAACGAAGATATTAACGTTTTTATTACACATTGGTTACGAGGAATTTGAACTGCCCGCTCACAAGGAACTTAAAGCTCTACGTGAGTCAAATCGCGCACTACAACGGTTTCAGCAAGCTTCTCAATCGAACAATGTTCATTTCCCCCATGTGTTGTTCAAACTAAATGCAATTTGCTATAGCTGAGCCAAAGCGTCAAGATCGAGGTTGCCAGATTTTTATATCGCAGAGACGTTCATGATAACGTTTAGCGCTCGATGTGAATCACGTAGAGCATTGAGTTTTCATGAGCGGATGGTTTGAATTCACGCATTAATAATCATTAAATATCTCTGTAAGGTATTGATTTCGGTAATTTTCGTTAAGCGCATCGTGTCCTACGTGAAATTTTCGTTTAAAAACATGTATCAGAATGCTGAAATTCGTACCTTCTCTAGTGGTCCATTACAAATAGTCAATATCACCGGAATTCATCATCGACTTTTTCACCAGTGACGCAGGGATTAAAATAGAGATGATGAAAATCGTCTTACCATCCACTTGAGGCACGAAAGGCAGCCCATCTGGGCGGCCGCGTGGACTGGTGCCATTCCATCTTTGGCTCGCACATAGAGGGAGCCACCAGCCTCGAGGACAAGAAATTTGAGCACCTCCAGATGCCCCTCTTGCGCCGCTAGGTACACTGGAGTGACGTCATTGTCCATCTGAGTATTGGCACTGCAACATATGGTAAAAAGGAAAATTAAAAAACCTGCTAAGAGGCACTCGGTAAGCAATGGGACGGTTCAAGAGCACAAACAGGTTGAAATTCCTTATACTAGACGATGAGAGTTTGAAATGAGGATTTTTCAGTTTTGACCGTTTATTGTGATAATCATAACGAGATTCATATATCAGAGTTGTAAAGTCGTTCCAAAAACACATTTTTAATATAGGGTACGGGACAGACTCTTTCGATGCTTTCTATTAAACTGGCTTAGGCATGAATAAGTGGGCTTAATCCTTCATTTTTTAGGGTACGCAATTTGGTCTCCGGAGAGTTTTCATTACTCGAGATTAAAACAAACATTTAGTCTCGGTGCGCGGTGTTCTTTCTTGGGTATTCTCAGTATGAGTCAGGCTTCAAGGGCCATTCACAAATTTCCTGTTTAAACAACTAAAATTTGGCTGGTTTGCGATACTTTTTGTAACTATGACAAAGAACCAATGTACTTTTAGTTTCAACTTCGTTTAATATTCATTTCTGAAGTATACATCAAAATAACCCCGTCGGTTGGACCAAAAAAACCCCCTTCAATAAATAAACGAAAAAGAAGGAAGGAACATTATAATCTATTCGCATTGTTTCACTTAAAGAGCGTAAAAATAATAACTTCACTTAAAATCATATTCAAATTGTACTGAAATTTTATGCAACCAAAGTTCAGTTCCTACAACCGAGACTTTCCGTTACGCATAGACCAAAAACTTAGGCGTTTCTTGCGCATATAAGCTTGCTTCGTAAACTTTTGTGGGTGAAGGGGGGGGGGACAAGGGTTTATTTGCCCCGCAAAAGAGTCTGCTAGTATTAAGTGACCATACACAATCACAACTTCTCTAGGGGGCTACAAGCCGTTTGAATGGTGGGGAGGTATGGGGGTGGGCAACAGCCTTCTCAGGAGGCAGGCTCTGGCCTGGGTTTCTCTAGAGTACCTGTATAGCGAGAGTATGGACAGATGTGAAACTCCGAAAATCCATCAGGCCTTCACCGATGCTTCTGCGAATAAAGTTAGGGCCCAGAAATGCAGCCAACCTATGAATTTCAATTATCCAGAACGATTTACTAATACTATTGTTACGAACCGTCGTTTATTAAGCACGTGTTTGACTCAGTTTTTGCATAAATTTACTCAATTTCGCGGAAGAACGCTCATTTCTGTACATTCTTTGCCATCATGGTTAGAATTGGAATCTGCAGACTGGCAGTGAAATTTTGTGCGTTAGAAGTTGGTTAGAAGGGTGGCTGCACTTTTGGGCCCTAAGCCCTCCATGAAGCGATCTGTCCATACTCTCGCTATACAGGTACTCTAGGTTTCTCCTATCCACGCCTCTATTCTTCAGAACTGAAGCTTTTTTCCTACTTTGCGTGTCGTTTTAAAAAAAATTCTGACGACAATCCAAAGTGCAAAATAGTAATGGTATTTGCGTCATCTTTTGAATAGGGATCCATTTTTTGCGTATAATTTAACCACGCGAACTGAAATACAAATCCAACATTTTTAGAAGTAGATAATCATTAGTGAGAGTTTGTTTGAATCTGGATCTTCTGATTCCATGGTCCTGAAGGCATCGCTATGTTTGGTGAGTTATTGATATTTAATAATGTCATTTGAATGACTTTTTTTTTTTAAATTTCGGCACGTACCTAACAATAAATTTTGCGCACAGGCGAGAGAGCTTTATCGGATTATTCAAGAGCGGAAATAAGAGACTTGACCATATCTTTATTCGGTTTTTGGAGGGCGGTAGACTGAGAATTGACGATTTTATTCAAAATTGAACAATTTCGAAATTGCTACAGTCCATACAGCGGTGAGAAAATTGTTTTTATAATCATAAAAAACAGCGATTTTTGTTTATTATACTAGATTATTTCTTCAAAACACTTTCTGTAGGTACCGACATTAATTTTTCTTAAACAAGAAACAATAATATCAAATATTTTCAAATCTCCGCTATTTAAAGATGTATAGATCTTAGTGTATTCCAGTATATTATTTTCAGTGACTATATCATAAATCTTCACTCATTCTACATGTTGGCACGCGTGTACCGTGCATTTGATGAAATTGTTACTCTTTGGGTACCTGCGCGGTATTTCTGAATTTTACCGTTTTATGTATAAAGTCACCGTCCTGGTGTACTGAATACCCCTACAATTGAATTATCACCAATGCAGCGAAGTAATTTAATCGCACTTTGGAATTAAAGGGTAAGAAAATCATTGATGAGTACAAGATTGTTTTTTATGTTAATTTTTGTGTGACTGAAACGGATGCTAGTGACGAATTGCAACGCATGTTACAATATATTATATGAAATTTGCAACAAATTGTGAAATTCAAAGGCATAGGTTGGAAATTTAAGAAAAATCGGAATAAAATTTTAAAATAACTTATCTCTTTACAGTTCCTAAACGGAAGTTTTAAATTCAAAGAAAGGGTATCGATAAAGGTGCGTTTTTGGGCCCACTTTATCTGAATCTCTTCGACTCGACAATTTGTTACTCGAAAAAGGTCTATATTTTCCGGAATGCATCAGAACCTGGTCATTTTCGGTCTCTTTTCTGGTCTAATACTGGTCTAAGCATAGGTCTGAAGGCCAATTTTGTCGAAAAATACGGATTTTTCGGCATTCAACCGCAAACCCTTAAAACCCGACACTTTTCCTTAAAATCGGCCTTCAGATCCATATTTAGACCAGTATTAGACCCGAAAATGGCCAAACCATGATGCATTCCGCAAAATATAGACCTTCAATCAGTAAACAATCGTATAGAGTTGAGGAAATTCAGGGTGGGCACAAAAACGACTCTCATCGAAACCTGCTCTCCTTAAACAAAATATACCTGTTGCTAAATGTGTTCTTTATCCACAATTTTATTGCTGGCTCTTATCTCGTGGTCCATTCCTGATTTTTCCGGATGTTTTTGGTTCCCCAATTGGACACATTTATGCTAAAAGGAACTATGTAACACGTAAACCCCATGCGTAGTTCCTTTTAGCATAAATACTTCCAATTGGACGTATTTCTATCAAACGGAACTATGTGCATTATGAGGTGAGCCCTGTTGTGCATGTATTCTCATGGGTATCAGGGCTCATGCCTCATGCCTTCATGTACATAGTTCCATTTGATAGAAATAGTCCAATTGGACGTGTATCTGTCAAACAGATCTATGTCCAGGTGAAAAATATGGGGTGTGCTCTAGAAAGCTGCATAAGAAACAATGAAAAGTGAGCGTGGTTCCTTTGGATGAATTGGAAAAGCGGGATTTTAAATTCAGCAAACAGAAGTATGTGCCAACTGAATGCGGGATATATGAGCCGCGGGCATGGCACAAGAGCGTTGTGAACAGGGCTCATGAGTTAAAGCCGAAGAGCCACGAGGAGCCCCATTCATTTCCGTTGACGTCACTGGCGCTTTATTATTATCATTCGCTCTTACGGCTAGAGAACTGACGAGCACACCCCATATTTCTCACTAGCGTATAAATCTGTTTCATAGAAATAGGTCCAATTGATCCCGGTTTTCCCAGTTCCTAGACACCATGGTTTGACCATGGTTGTGTTGCTGGCATCCCTGCTTGGCCGTTGCAGTGCGAACGAAAACGACGATCCACCGAGGTTAAAACCTAGCCACGGGTACATGTACACGCTGCAGCCATTCTACACGTACGTTCAGAATTCCGGCCCGTGGCACGCGTTCTACGCTATCACGCCGTACACCTACTTCAACATCAAACCGACGGCGTTCTACGGATGCTTCACCATCCCGAAACTCATCTCTACCGACGAGTACCTGAAAGATTATCACTACATAGAGATCGGACCGCTCAAAGGACGCAAGAGGATCAACCCTAAAGTTGGCAGAGCCCTCGCTCTACGCATGATCGGCATGTGAGTACCAGTCAAACATGTTCATTTCAGTGGCTTTAGGTGTAACGACTCGTTTCGTATGGAGGTTTCATATCGATGGCTGAAGTGCGAGACCACGTACCTGTCTCTGGTTCCGCCCCCCTTTTAGCCCCTTTCCTCCGTTTTTTTCGTCACAGGAGGGGTAAAGACAAGAGGGGGATGATTGGCCTTTGTGAACACTCACAGCCTCTAGGAAAGTTATTTCTGTTTGCGACGTTGTAGAACTTCAGTCATACTTTGCTTTTTCCTTGGAAAACTAGTCAACATAATTGCTTGAAAACTTCCTTGATTTTTCTTCTCTTCAGTTAAGAGAATATTCTGTGTAAATTTCAAGCGATTAAATTAACGTGTTCCGCCTCGAAAAAATAAAATAGGAATGGAGATGATGAAACAGCGCAATGGAGATACGCGGTATCGCATTTTAGCCATCGATATGGTTTTTATTTGAGTATAGGGGTGTGACGAGATCTTTATAATATCGTTGTAAAAAGGAAAATATGAAAGACTTTTGAGGAAAAAACATTATGACTTTATACATTATAACAGAAACTTCTGTACATCTGTAACGAAGAAGAAATCGGAACCCCGTGAATTGTGGAACCAATTAATTTTTATGTGATGATCCTTCATTTTAAATCCACAACGAAAGAATCAATCGAGCGTATTTCTGTCAAACGGAACCATGTGCAATAAGAATTGAGCTCTGAGAGCCATAAGAACACATGCATAACAGGGCTCAGGTCATAATACACATAGTTCCGTTTGACTAATTGCAGGATGTCTTAAGATTAAAAAATTTTCTGCAGCTTACTAAATTTTTCTAAACGAGTTCAAAAGCGCACCGTAGGTTAGAAGAGGTGGGATATTTCAGTGAAAAGGATTACTGCTAGTTACTTGTTAAGCGACAAGTTTTCTCCCGATTAGCACCGGATTTGACTTGCGCGTTGCTTAAAAAATGAGCGAGTTTGCCGAGCATCTCTCAGTTTATAGGGACAAAGTTGGTGGCATTACGTCATGGCGATTGCTGCATGTTTCTGCGAAACACAAATTCTCGTCGCAAAATTATAAACTCATTAAGAGCAGACTCTCACAGTGAAAATTTTCCCGTGATGCGATGGTTACCTCTTTGATGAAATTTTCTGTTTCGTAGAGACAAGTGCGGATGGCCATGATGAAATTTTGACATCACTGTCTCTACTTGGTTTTGGGTCTTTCGTAACATGATGTTTGACTTTTTGATTTAAATGGAAACATGAACAGCTAAGTTCTGCCGATAAGTAGGTAATAGAAATTTTCTATGTCAGTATGTCCAACGCGTTTTCAGTAAGATTTTAATGAGGAAAAGTGTCACGGGACTCTTTAAAATTCTAATTTTATCGAATGGTCCATCAGTAAGCTATCATCCAGGCTCTTTGACCCTCATAATGCTAATTTACATCATTCATAGTTCTCGCTGGGGATGTACTGAGCCAATTTCTATTATTTTTGCGCTAAGCAATGCGTAATAACCTCCAATCCTGCTTTCCTTACATTTTAGAGACATAGCCTAATTATCCAAATATCAAACGATAAAAATATACATTTTTCGATTTAAAGAATATAAACACTCAATATTGGTCATGGTTCGTTCTGAAGATTTACTGGGCCAATCGGCTGATAATAAGTTTCATAGAAGTTTCTTTAAAGCTCTGAAAAATGACCAAAGGAGCGGTCTTTTAGGGGCACGAAGTGGCCCGTGAGGGGTTGGGCTGCATAGCAGCTACGGGGTCTTCTTCCTAATGTTTTGCGTATTTTAACCACACAGCATGTTGATCCACAGAATGTTTACGTATCGAGCCCACCGCTGCAACTGTCGGCATTACACGGATTATCTGCTCTACGGAACGACTTACGGGACACCTGCGGACCTTGCCTACCAGACTATAAGTGCTGACTGTCCCTTGTACTACCCGTTGACATCAAAAACCAACGTCTGGGACGAAGATTTCACACTCCAGGACTATTATGGCAATAAAATCAAGTTGGGAAAACCGCCACAGAAAGAACAGAGCGTGCGTCGGCCTAGATCGAGATCAAAATCAGGGTCAATATCAGGATCAGAGTCAGGATCAGAATCGGGATCAGAATCGGGATCAGAGTCGGGATCAGATTCTGATGCGTATTCAGTATCAGCAAAATCCCCATAGCATTGATCGTTAAATCTTAAGAGAGAGAGAAAAAAAGGGTGAACATATCCAAATTAGAAATCGTTTTTCGTTTTATTTAAGTAAAACATGTGTTGAATTCATTGTGAATAAAGGTTATGTAAACATATCAATAAATGTTTTTTAATTTCGAAAAATCATGTCTAGCAGTGCAAAACACGAATTAAACATGAGAATACGCAACATACAAAACTAAAAATTGACGAGAGGCTCATACATAATAAAATTTAATAAGAAATAATCAAAAAAAATCTTAAAAAAAAGCAAGTTAGAATTTTAACGCGAGTAAAATGAAAAGAAAGAGTTTCCTGATTCCTTTATTTCGGAATTTTTAAAGAGCTTCCTGTCTTTGACATTAACATTTTGCACTCTTTTTTAATGGTCAATGCTGCTAGAGCAACTGCATGAACGTTAGTGACAGACAGAGCCTACTTCATGCAAAAGCTATAAATTCTTTAGCTTTCAAAACCTTTAGGTTTTCTTTTGATAGGCTGATGAGAAAATGAGGCTAACTTCCTAGGCTTGAAGAAAGCATGGCGAAAAAATAAGTAACACTTGAACTTCAAACATTATGGAAGTAACATTGTGTAGCATTTACTGGGAATGAGAAATTGTTCCGATTGTATTTTCTTACTTGTCATCCATTTGTATCAACAGTTTTTTTTCTTTTTCTGTTGTTTTATGGCTTTGTGTCTAAGCACCTGCAGCCAACTTTAGACTAGTGTGATAGTGTAGAGAGTAGGTTACAGGTGACTAGATACCGACTTTAGAGGTGTGAAAAAGAAAAAACTAAAAACATGGAAAAAGGTGAGGGGTTGATAAAAAAGAGGAGTTGAGTAGGGAGAGGGTGAGAACCCTTCACCATTTTCACGCTAGCTGATACCCGGCAGAGCGACTTCCTATGACCAGAGACTGGGTAATGGAAAACAAACAAAGTGAACATACGGTAGGGATTGAATGTGTGAGAGAGAATGATTTGTTTGGACAAAAGGTAGATTGAATAAAACAGAGTGTAAGACGGTTGGTGGGAGTGAAAAAAAAGTATAGGGAAATTATTAGTGTAAGAATGAAGATTTGGTAGATTAGAGGTGGATATCATTTTTATCTAGAAAAAGGGCTACAAAAAAGGGGAAGAAAGGGGGGGGGAAAGGGGAACAGTTTACCTATAATCGTGAAAGCATGTGTATTTAATGGATGTCGAATTCACGCCCGCCCGGCAAAATTACGTTGTGGCAACGTTGCCAAAACGTTGCAATTTCGCCATT